AGTCAGAAACGATAAAAGTTTTAAAAATAAAAAGATGTTTGAGAGAAACAAGAGTCTAAAAAAGTGCAGCTCTTCTTCAGGTTTCTGCTTCTCGTTTTCCGGTCTGATTTATCTGAAAATGTTGCAAATATGCCTGCAAATATATGCAGGAAACACCATATGAAGCCAAAGGTAATTTCCAAAATGACTGAGAGAATAACTGAAAGGAGACTGCATCCATCAGCTCTTCTTTTTTGAAGAAGAGGCGTATTTTTTTAAAAGGGCTCTCAAATCCAAATTTGCCAAATTATCAGCTGTAATAACAGGTTTTATACTCTCCACATTTAGTTGTCCGATACAAAGTCATGCAAAGTACTTTGAAGATCAAAGTATTTCAATTTGTAGATGGAAAAAAGTGATTTCATGTAAGAAGGTTCAATAGGCAGAATCATCTAAAAATGTACCCTCATATGATATGTTGACCATCAATTTTTCATCATTTCAAGCCACCTTTACATTGAACAGTCTTAGACACCAACATGCCAATTTGATCTTAAATACCATCCCTCCTACCATTTTCTGAACCGCTTATTCCCAAATGGGGTCCCGGGGGTACTAGAGCCTATCCCAGTAGTTAATGGGTGAGAGGCGGGGTACACCCTGGACGGTCCACCAGTCCGGTCTAAAATACCATTATTCAAAATAATGAACAGATATTTATTCAATATCAAAATTAAGGGAATATGTCATTTATTCATTTGGCAGTTAAACTTGTCGTTTGATTATATATCTAAGTAGATTCAGTCTTTTTGCTTTAGATCTGAGTCTTGATTCTTATATCAGTTCCTCGTTTTTGAGTGTCCGAGAGATTCTTTAAGAGGGCTCCAGTGTTTTGTTGTTTGTTCCTTTCTCCCACTGCAGGAGTTGTGGCACCATATTAGTATTTATCAATCAGGGATCAATGAATATGATCGTGGGGCAGAGTGCTTTGACTCAGAGTCGTATTGATTTTCTGAAGGGTTGGGCGTCGTGCCAGTTCTCATTAGTGGTCTCTGTCCTTTTACCTCTATTTGTCTCTCATCTCTCCCACCCGCTGTTGTTGCTGCGTCGTGATTCAACCTGATGGCAGTTCTAAGTGCTTTAATAGAAATGTATTGATCATAGAGCTTATGAGCCATTTATGCTGCTACCTGGATATTCAATCACTGGGCAGACAACAGGCAGCCTTTCTTCAGCAAGTGTGTGTTTTCCAATCCTCCCCTGTCAGTCCGGATGAGGTTGTAAAAGCTGTGGCCAGCAGTAAAAATGACCTTAGGCAATGTCACCTTTAACTCCGGAAAAGAAATTAGGGATTTGCTTACATAAAACCCCCTCAAGTCTGGTTCCCCTGTAAAGAATTGAAGGTTTCCTACTCAATTAGATCTTATACCTTAGGATTTCTTCGAATAAGTTAAAACAGTTACATACAACACCTTAATAATAGATGAAAAATAAAAATAAGAGGAAATAGTGATAGGTCCAGCTGTATATTGGTTGAAAGCTGAATGAGTAAAGCTACTAAAAGATTCTCGATGAGAACAATGTTATGAATATACTTATAATAAGTAAATAATTGAATTTCACAAAAATGCATATTGCCTTGTAAAACAGATTTTCTTCAGACTGTGATCTTCCTTCCTAACAAGGTACATAATTTCTCTGTGTTCTGTAATAAATTCTTATCATTGTATTCAAAACATAATCCAATCATATAGAATTAGAACAGTCTGTAGGACTCAAATGTATCATTAAGTCAAACCCTTATGTAATAAGTAATATGATCCATATTGCTTCAATCAATTGAAAAAGATCAAATCTATGAATGTGGACAAAAAAAAAATCCCCTGTTCGTACATCTGAGCTGGACCCTGAGTTGTTCAGACACCCTAGCCTGTTATAAAACCAATAGTCAGTTCATGGTTGTTTCTTCTCATATGGAGCTTGGAGCTGACCGTTACACCCTGCTCTCTGACCTCCCATTCTTTCTACACTGCAGTGTTTCGGAGGCCGGCCTCAGAGAGTGCGACCTTGGCCCACTGCTCCACTTTTAATCAGCAGTTCTCTTCACGCAGGCAGCTCCAACCAGCCACTTCCTACAGCTTAATGACCCGAGGGTCCTACTCCAGAGCTGGCCTTAGCCCATGCAGTAACTTAGCTACTTTTGTACCTCAGTGCACAGCAGAAGTAAAGATGAAAACACACAGCGCGTTTTTCGTAAAAGCGAACAGGCTGAATTTAAAAGACGGGTTAATTCAGTTGCTGTATATTGTTAGATTGTGTAAAATTGCGGCCTCTGTTTATTGTCATCTTTATTGAGAGTTGTAATGATGGGCACCTTAATATTACAAAACACATTCTACAGACTGACAGGAAATTTTCCCGTTCATTGCACCTCTTGTGATTGCCCATTGCCCATGAGCATGTATGTCTTAAACGAAGTTTGAATATTCTGTCCAAGCCATTTCAACTTTTGAAAGAAACTTTGACTGAGGGGCGTGCTGGTGGCTTAAAGATAATCACATCAAGGGCATGGAGCCTGACCTGTTTTTGCATCAGTAAGTTTCTGAAAAGCACTCAATTGGCAATTGTTGTCTTGCCTTTTGTGGGAATGTGAATAGCACTTTATTGATTGGGAGCAAAATGTTTTTAATGTTGTAGATGAGATTTCTGGATTGCTAGCTAATGGGAAGATGGAAGCGCTCTGCAATCTATTTTCAAGTCAAGTTCCAAATTGAAAATCTTTACACACATAATTAAGGCTTCTCTGAAAAGAATGTCAAAAGTTTTACCTTTACCTTTTACCTTTTCCCCCTCAACCACTCTATTTGTTTTTTTTTAAACACAAACAGGTTTAGGACTGTGATGATGATTCCAAGCACTCAATTTTAAAATGGAGGGAGGATTTGTGGTTGCTCTCACCAGTGAAACTATTGCTGATATTATTGTTATTTTGCCTTTGTTTGACATTTCTCATTTAGAAATGCAGAATTAGTTTTATTATATCTACTATTGATGTTAGTTCAAACTAAATCTACAGAACCATTTGCAATAGCTTCTCTTGTTCTGTTTTTTTTTTTTTTTAGGATCAGTTGATTTGATATGTTGGTCAAGGATAAATGGACAGGTTGTGGCTATAGTCGGGTTCAAAGCTGGGCTCCTCCACATGGGGTATGTCCTGGATTTCAAACAGCCATTGTGAATCCGCATTTAAAACTAGACTTCACTGTGAGCCATAGGAGATGTGGAAGCAGAAGACAGTTTTCCAGCTTTTGTTGAGCCAGATTTATAAACAAGACTTTCAGTGATCATCTTTATTGAATTTTTTCTCAGCGCTGTGGACTTTGTACTGTATGCATAGCTTCTGTGGATTTTTGCATAATACATGACCAGTTGGTGGAGATTCCTATAAGAAATGAGTGATACATTTTGTTATCTGGATGGCTGCCTACACATTACAAGCAGATTAAAGCAGGTTGTGTAGCTGACTCAGAGGAATACATGGAGACATTTTGGGAAATATGCTTATTTGATATCAGTTATATCTGTTGAATAAATATTAAGCTACCACCTACATCTGGTTAGGGTGGCTGAGCAAACATACTGGAAAAGAGAGTGAACAGACGTGTGAGCTTTTTTTTTTCTTTTGAAACGTCTAGAAAGTATTACCCATGCAACAGTATAGTTTTTCCATTTCTGACTGTGACCTTCAGTGCCAAACAAATACATTAAGAAACAAAAAAGCCCTTTTTAAAACAGCATTGCACTACCATGTTAATTAATCAGAATCTGATGTCTTGGTGCTGTGAATACTTATTTTCAAAAGTCTTTTGTCTTTAATGATTGATTTTCATAGAAACAAGACTTGATTCTTTCAGAGAACATGATCCATGTTATAATGGATTATTTATTAGTTGCTGATTTTTTGACTGCGTTGCTCAATCAGCACTGTGCCTGGGATCAGTAATACCACAATCAAATCAGTAAGTTAGGTCACACAAGGCCAAATGGTAAAGCTGCAGCTGAATTCAATCCAAATATGGCAATGAGACACCTTCCTGCTGGAATAGTGTTAATCCAATCAGAAATGCACAAGTGTATTAATCCATCGTAAACAAATTAGATGAAACTTCTCAAAGCTGAACAAACACAATCAGATAATGGATTTGTGGATCTAACCAATCCTATATGTATATTGTCAGCTGCTTTAGAAAAAACAAAAAGAAAGCATCTCCAGACTGGTGCTCTACTCTAAGGAAATCTTGATTTAACAACCGTATAACTTATTAGGCTAATAGACTAGACAAAGCAGAATAGATCATTGAAAGGATTCATGAAATTTCAGTGAATCTGTTATACTCAAAAAGATTCTGTGTTTATGCAGTAGTACATGATTGGAAGGATTTAACCTTCAACTATACTTAAACTATACTTATACTATACTTAAATATACAATATAAATATAAATGGCCTTTGGCGCATTTGAAAGTTGCGCCACAGCAAATACACACACACACACATACACACGTATGTATATATACAACCAAATTACCAGTAAAGCTGCTCTAAAAATTTTTTTTTTCAACTTTAATGTGAAATGATCTCCCACTGGAAAGTTACATGAGATGGAATGTCCTGAATATTTTATCCCACAGTGCGCAGCGTTCCAGACATCAGAAATGCTTTGATCAATAATATGACTTCTCTCTTGAGCTTTTAGGACAAATGCTCTAGTCCAGTTATTTGGCCAGGTTCTATTCAAACCTAAACTTGACTATTGCTATTGTAATTGTATTGTAATAATGCTATTATAAATGTAGAGACAAGTTATAATAGACCATAAACAGCCACAGCCTAACATTTAGCTGGAAACAGAAAATTTGGACTGATTATCTCATTTTGTTTCTGTTTATTGAGAAACATCAAAAAGTGTTGCAAAAAGACACCGCAGGAACTGTAACCATTGTCTGTGTTTGTGCTTCCAGTTCACGTGAAAGCAGGAACCTGCGAGGTAATTGCAGCACACCGATGCTGCAACAAGAACAAGATCGAAGAGAGATCCCAGACTGTCAAATGCTCCTGCTTCCCTGGACAGGTGGCAGGAACAACAAGAGCAGCTCCATCTTGTGTAGACGGTATGCCAGGCTTCCTATTATTGCTTTGGTAATGATATGAGACCGACTTCAGATTAGAAATGTGTGGCACGGTGCAAAACTGTCAAACCTGTCACTGAGCCTCGGCTGCATGTTTCAGCAGACATTGAGCCTGAGAGCTTGATTGCTTAAAAGAAGGGGTGGGGGGGGTGTTAAGAATTTTCCAGATCACATCACCCACGCATTCATTCTCTGAACCTTTTGTTTGTTATTGAGGTTGCATCAGACATTTTCAGCCGAGTCGACATAGCCAGGTCATTTAATTTCATGTCAGCAGTGGCCTCAGTTACAGGTGGATCGATCCACTTCTCCTCCTCTCAGTATAACGGCTTTGACACAGGCTTCCTCCATTTTGACAGTTCCCCCCTCACTTTAGAAATGTCAAGGGAAAATATTTGTCCCCTCTAGGCCCCTTGAAAGCAGCCTAAGTCCCCGACTGTGGGTTTTTCGGCACTCCCATATTGAACACGCCGGCTCACAACACCCACCAACCAGATTGACATTAACCCATGCCCTGTAAATCAGACCTGGATACACACAGGGGCAGGACTGACAGATCTCCACAAATGCCAGAGATCAAGACACTTTCTTCAATCACAAGGATCTACCGAAGAGCCAAAGGGTCTTGTTGTTTCTCCAGTCTGAACAGAATTGTGCTACACTCTCAGACAGCATGCGGTTAATTGCCTCCAGTTCTGTTCTCAGTGCTGTTTTTCATCTTTTCCTCTCCTCGCAGCGTCAATAGTTGCACAGAAGTGGTGGTGCCAGATGCATCCCTGCATGGATGGAGAAGAGTGTAAAGTGCTGCCAGATCTCAAAGGATGGAGCTGCAGTACAGGAAACAAAGTTAAGACAACTAAGGTGCGATACACTTCTGTTTGCAGATAAATTATTTGTATATTTCAAAGGCATTGCCAAAAAGAAGTGATGAGATTGACTAGATTTTTTAGAATAGAAAAATTACCTCAGTTTCATGGCCTGAAATAAAAGCTTTAACAAAATATGACTCCAGAAAAATGGAGACTGGCTGTGCAAAAAGAATGAAACAAGAGCTAAAGTGAGCACTGAAAGATTTTTTATTAACTTCAGATGAGTGCAGAGCAGGGTAGGCAGGAGAGGAAGATGTAACTCACAGGGGAGCCAGTGAAGTGTGTCTTGATGCGATTGGCTTACAACACTGGAAGAGGGTGAGTTAAGTTCAGCTCTCTATTAAGCCACAGCCCCAGTTTGAAGCAGAAGTCTAACTACAGTCGATTATTGTATTTTGCTTAAGCTGCTGATTGGGTTGAACCATGTAGGTCAGGTTGTCAGCAATCCAGGAGTTGGTGGGACAAGCCAAAAGAAAGATTCCCTCTACTAAACCTTCATTAGACTTGAGAATTCTTCTCATAATAGATTCAAATCAACTTATTTAAAGGTGTTACAGAACATATATTGTTTATATTGTTGTATATTGCCTATATTGTTTATTTCCAATGTGGCAGTCATTGTTGTTGCTGCTGGGAAAGGAACAAATTGTTTCAGTTTTATATGGGCGTTTAAAACATCAACCTTGTTGTTTGATTGATTGATAACTGAAGTCAAAATTAACAGAATCCAGACTCCAAAGCAAGCATTTTCAGCTCTGTCTGTTACTTTCCCAGAACCAAAACTGAATATGGTTTTATGCACACCTGAAAGAGTCTTTGTGCTTCTTATTTTCTATTATGTGTAAGTATTCAAAAAATGTGATATATACAGTATGTAACCCTGTCAAAATGCTTTTTAAAATCAGGGACTTTTCTTACTGGTGAGGCCAGAATCTACTCAGAATGTGTCCTTCATGCACAAGCCGTTGTGGCTCTTTAACCAATGTCATTTCTACACAAAAGATCTCTCCTATAACATTGCTGAGTGGTGCACAGAGCTTTGAAATATTAAGTTTGACTTGTTTTATATCACAAACATTTTTTTGGTTGTGACCCCACTCTTAGTAGTTGCATTTAATTTTAGCTCACATGTTGGGAAAACTTTGACAGTCTAATACTACTTTGTCTATCGTTTGCTACAAGTAAGACATCCCATCTTCTTAATCTTAAAGAAGCTTTCTTTCTAAACAGAACTCATCAAAAAGAAACAGGAGAGCTGTGTAAATATAGAATACTTTTTTCCCCCCATTTAGTTAAGTTTGCTTTGTCTGAATTGAAATGTGTCATCTGAAGTCTGAGTACTTTGCAAACCATTATTTTTTAACTAGTGTTGTTAGCCGAGAATGGAAAAAGAAAAAGACGTAATACCTATCAAATTTATCAAATTAGATGTCAAGTTACCATACACAGACGTCAATGTACATTATATATCACTTGTAAGTATAGAAGGCAATTTATAATTCATATTGACAATAAGAAGAACAAAACCCAATTTGCTTCCATTTTCACAGTAATTAGATTATTTTCTTGACGACTTTTAGACATTCAATAACATCAGTATTAGACTTTCTCACTTCATAGGCAAATACATTAGAAATTGAACAAAGAAAAGAGTGATGCTTAGAATATACAGTACTATGTTGCTTAGTGTTTCATTAATATTTCATTCATTAATATTTATGAAGTAAATTGTAGGTTTTCAGCACAAGCTGACACATGAATTAGTTTAAGATAGATCCTAACTGCAAAGCATAATTTCAAGTGTCAAAATTAAATATTAATGTCCCATGTTTATTTGTACAGCGAGTTTTCTGTCAGCTTCGTTCTGATGTACAATTCCAAAAGCATCGAATTTTTTAGGACGCTAAGAAGCAAATATTTATCAGATGCGTTCAGTTGAATATGGTGGGATCAGTTATAAACTCTGTTGAGAACAATTCTATAAATAGACTCAATACAGAAAGAAAATTAACACGTTGCTCTCTAATGTCACTTGGTTGTGTAGTTGAGAAATGAGACATACAGCTCACAAAATGCTTTATGAAGAAAAAGAATTATCACCTCTGTAATATAGCCTGATTACACACCAGTCATGTGTGTCTATCTTCTCTTTGAGTGTGAGATAGTGTCAAGACCTTCCTCTGTTAAGGCACTTCAAAAAGACAAAAACAAGAAAGACAAGCATATCACAAACAAAAATCCCCTCAGGAAGACAAAATTTGTAAGTGGGTTGTGCTAATATTGGAGTATTCAAGCTTCAGCTCTTCTAGAGATTGATAGAGGTTGTCCGCATGCATGCTTTGCCTTTCAGGGTGTGGTAGACCTGAAGTGGACGGTAGGTGAAGGGGGGGGGGGGGGGGATCTGGCAGACCCTTTCCATCCATCACAGTCTACTCTTTGACTCACCAAATGCCTGTAGTGGAGCTACCTCCTCCATTATTCATGGCTACAGGAGGGCTGGATAAGGCAGAGCTTTTTATTTTAGCTGGGTTAATAATTCATGCCCTCTCACATAGCTACAGGGAAGCAGAAACAGAGGCACAGACGAGCAGGGGTCCAGGTGTCTGGTAGAACCCGTCAGAACCTCAACTCGCTTTTTTTTTTTTCTGGAGGGAGTCAGCGGGGGTTGCTCCATGCTCATGGCTCCGCTGCCTCCCACAGAGAGCCAGCAAGGGACGGCTTGTACCCGAACTTCCTGAACACCTAAAATCCTTCTGAGGAATGAACAGATGGGCTGCCTTAGAATAGAGCTCCGGGGCTCAAGTGAAGCGTTGGCGCTGTTGAGTCTTTTTAGATGGCTATCAATTCAGACGAATGACATATTAGCAAGAAGGGATCATTTGAAGCAAAACCTGTATTGCGAAATGCAGTCAGAAGTACATCATGCATTTTGTTAGTGCAGGTTAATTATGTTGGCTGAATTTGGAGAAATCCTGAACCGGAAACGCACAAACATGCTGACTGCTATTGCGACAATGGCAACGACAGAATGCGAAGCATCACTGCATAAAGACATTGCACATTTTTAGTTAGCACCTTTGAAATTGGGTTTCACTTTACAAACACAAACATACACAGTTATGATAGGAAAAGAAAATGTGAACCCATCTGTATTCAATACAGATATAAAAGTGTGCGAAGGAATTGCATTGCTTGAAGATGACCAGAGATTTGTCCTAGTACATGGAAACTGATCTGTGTGTGGTTGCACTTATCTTTGTGTTATCTTTGATTGTGTGCATGTGTTTGATCTTGCATGTTGCAGCGTGTTGGTTGCTTGTGTTCTGCCACGTGTTGGCTGGTACACGTCATGTATTTTGCGTCCATATGTTGCTTTTTGTGTGCTGGTCTGTCTTGTGTTTGGTCTCATGCCTCAGTGCATATAAACTCAGTTGATTTCAGCAACTGAAATGAGCTGCCAACTGATTCTTAACTGACTCTTCAGCTGACAATAACTCACTTTCAGGTAATAGTGTTTCCAGTGTGATCTGTATCAAAGAGGATTTAAAGTACTTAGAAGCATGAGACAGAAACCAGAAAGGCTTTTTTTGTATAGAAATGTCATAATGTGTTTGTGTGTGTGTGTGTCCACACAGTCAGTTTGAACAGCTGCTGTGTCTTCTGTTTGTCACTTAAGTTGCCACAGCGATGGTGAGTGTAACATTATATTTGCCTCATACTACTCAAAATGCACTCAGACTTCATCTCAAACCTCTTCAATTCAGAGAAAAACGTTAACTTCTTTTGACACCGGTTTGACATAGTAGGAACAAGACTTTGCAGTACTGTTTGTGTGTCGGGTGTGATTATCTGATACAAATCTTGACATTGGAGTAAATGTTAAAACCTGTCAAGTCTGCTTTTTGGGCAAAATTCAGCTCTCAGTTTGTAGACAGAAGTTGGGCACCTGTGTGATTCAGAGGGTAAATGAAAAAATCCCAGTGTGAGTACCCTAGCCTTAAAATGGTACTAAAACTTGATTAGGAAACTGGGAAAAGTTCAAGTAAATTTTTTATAATTCATAATCATAACTAAACTTTAAGTGTGAATTTTATCAAGAATATCTAGGAGTCAAAAGCCTGAACGCTCCAACAACTAGCCTGGCTGTAATGTTTGAATTGAGTCGATGTAAATGGAAAGAGATAAATTTTGAGGTTCAAAGTGTTTGAAGATATTTCACGGTTCTGTCAACTTTATATGTGGAACATCTTGGCATGAAACTATTTCTCTATTACCTCAAAAATCTAAATGTTGCTGTTAGTATGCAGCAATATATACCAAAACAGCATGGAGGTCAAATATTGGATCTCAGTAATGTGAATGCTAAAGCCACATTCACACATTAAACAGTTTCTTGCCATTTTAGAGAAGCAATGTCAGCAGTATTTGAATCTATAATCTCACGAGATATGTAATTCCACAATAAGGCAGTTTTCCTAGAAAATTAGTTCTCAAATCTGGCTTCCAGCTGAGGTTAACACAATACACAATAACTCTGCAAGCGTTTTTTTTGTTGTTTTTTTAATGTACAAAAATGTTTTTATAATGCAAACAAATTTGATAAGTTCAAGGATACAAATGTACAGTTAGGATAATTACTCCTGAGTCTCACATTTGTCTGTATTTGCTCTTTGTATTCTTGTTTTAACATACTGTTTTAGAAATCAGTATGCAGAACATTTGTAATGATTTGATACATTCAATTTCACTAATTATTTAATTTCCCCTCATTTTATATTGCAGCTGTCAAAAAACTTGCAGAAAATTCTTGCAGCATTATAAATCCTTTCCTATTTGATGTCCAGCGGTGGCATTGTTGATATATGAAAAAAAAAAAAACTTTCTAAAAATGATGGTGTGGTTTCATCCCATGATGAAGTAACGTCAGTAAATCAGACGTCGTAACACCCTCTAGCCCCTCCTTGGACAGCTCTGTTTGTTCCATCTTTCTCCACACGTTTCAGGAGCAGCTAGTTTTACAGTCCTGCTGGTAATGTCAAGAATTATAACCCCAGCGGCTCCTGCTTTTCACTTCCCATCAATCAGAGAGCAAAAAAAAAAAGAAAAGAAAAAGGGCGACTTTCCATTTGACAGGTTTTGTGAAGCTAGGAGAGAAAGTGTTGAAGTTTGTTGATTGATAGCTGTCTGGGAGCATACTTTTCAAGACATAATGAAAATGTGTCTAACATATCCTGCACAGTTTCTTTTCCGGCTGTTAAGACGGACCAAGTGATCCTTCACTGGCCATTGGACCTTGCAAAGACTGAATGGAAAATGTTTCTCATGTACATTAACAGATTACAACAGAAAGGCAAAGCCTCAACATCTGAAAAGTTAAGCCAAAATAAGATCGTCTCTACACTCATTTAATTAATGGGTTGAAGGAAGCGGGTTTACTGGCTGTCCAAAATGATGCAACGCAGAGGATGGCAGCCTCCGTTTCTCAGTCAGATACACTTCTCACTCATCTTTTCTACACTTTAAAAAAAGCAAGATGTTAACGCATCACAACATTTTTCTCTACTCCTCTCTTTAGGGTGGAGGTTAAGTTGCTGACACTTTTATTGAAAGTTATTAATACAGTGGGGTATAGAAAGTTATTGAGTAATTTTTTACATTTATGAATGTTAGAAATGAAAAATTAATCTACCTTCTGGAGTTAAAAGAAAAGAAACTGACATTTTTAAGCGATAGATTACTTGAAAAGGAGCTAGATCATAATGTGGCCACTTGATTTGATTGGATTTTTCTTATATTTCTAAATCATTGCTAAGCAATGTAAGAGGAAGTAATATTGAAAAATGTCCACTATACTGGAAATTCAGTTTAAACAATGCGTGTTCAAAGTTTCACAAAAAGACATGTGTACGCATGATTGCTTCAATATATCCTTGTTTGTGAATGAAACCTTGAACCCACAGCTGCCCAGTCAAGTGTGGTTTTTCATCCTCTAGCAGATTAAGAATAAAACCCAGAGGAGCTACCTTATGTACTGATTCCCCTTTGTGTGTTTAATCTCCAAAAACCTGCTCAGTGAGACCTGCAATACCACAGCACCCCCACAGCTTTGATGGGCTTTAAGCATTTCATGCCGCATGTAAATGCATTTCCGTTGCTTTGATTTGCTGTTAGTGTGTGCCATTTAAGCTTTTATCTTCTCATTGGTCTGAAACTGTGTTTCTATTTTTGAATTTCATTGAATAACTCAGTCATTAAGCATTTTACCTGCCTCCTATATATATATATTACATATATTAAGGCTGCCCTGCCATGTCTACAGCCCAGTGCTGTAACTTGAGCAAGCTGGAATTATTTCCATATCCACTCTCACACCATGATTTCTGTCTGAGGACCGTCACATAGAAGTGAAAATTAAATTGCGTCTCCCCAAACAGTGAGCACTGTGCCATCCGCTGTAGCTGTAAACACCATTAAAAGAATCACACCGGTGCAGAATTTTAGGATTACATCGCTCAGAGTAATGATTGTAGGTGGTAATGTCATGCTGATTTTACTGGTGGGATCCCACCAACTGCTGAATGAATGACAGCAGAATGCAAATATTCACATAGGTATACTTAATATGTGCCTCGTGTGTGTGTGTGTTTGTGTTGCATGTTTTAGATTTATCACAGGGGTGGGTAAAAAAATCTCTGGTCTTCCTGATTTTCAAAAGGCAAACCAATTTCAGTTCCAATATGTAGAAAATATATGTTTCAACATTTTAACTTACTGAATATAAAAACACTGAAAGACATGAGACAGAAAGATAAGTCCTGTTTGCATGAAGATATATGAACACAATATACACGCTATAATATCTGCTTTCATACTGCCTACTGTCATTGTTATTTTTTTTTTTACAAATCACAAATTAAAAAACAACATCAGCTGAAGGTCAGCACATCTGTTCACGATGTGCTTCCTCCTACTTCCAGGTTGTACTGCTGAAATCATTAGTAAACTGATAAGTTTCCTCATTAATGATGGTGTCTGTTTATAGTTGTTGCACATGCACCAGTCGCACAGCATGGTCGATGCTGATGGGATTTTAAAAAAAATTGCCTTTTATAGGACAAATACAAATCGAATGTATAAAATGATTAAGTTTATGGGACATTGTTGCATTAACATAATCCGCATATTTATTGCATTTTTTGTTGTTACAGCACTTACAAATGACTATTGCATAATTTTTCTAGGCTAGAAAAAGCCACAGTTTGGACGTCAGAGTGGATAAAGTATGATGCTAAACAACCAGACAAATGCCAAAGTCAAAATCAACTCCGGATCAATGGTGGCCTCCAGTAACTGGTGCATCCAGCTGGCCCATACTTTAAATGCAGTTTTACCACCCTTTTACTCATTAAACGCTAAATGGACTATTTATATCAGGCTTTTTAAGTCTAATGGCCCGCTCAAAGCGTTTTACACTAAATGTCATTCACACACACGCGCACATATGCACACACACACACACACAATGTAATTTACACACACACTGTTCAGGTAACTTCAGTGCCTTGCCCAAGGACTTCTCAACATGTGGGTCATGGGAACAAGGAGTCAAACCACTGACCCCCGAGCTACAGTGAACAACTTCAGTTTATTTCAACTGATTAAATGGTTAGGGTTATGTATTTTGAATGAGGTGGTAAAGAAAAAAAGATTTCTTCTTCTTCTTCCTCTTGATATTATTATTATTGCAATATATCCTTTTTCTAGATTACTCGATTAACCCTCAGTTAAAGAGACAAATATGACTTTTTTTTTAAATATGTTATTCTAAGATTGTTTAAAAGAGATCACATAATATTTTTCTTCCACATTTTTCTGAGTGGGCTGGCGGATCGTGATGTGTGAAAAGCCTTGGGATATCCGGTGTTATTTCAGTTATGAGGACATGCAAAGTCACGTCCTCATAACTGGCATTGACAGAAAATGCCTTTGCCAGTTTTCAGGCACTCACTTCTGAGTGTCTGCAGTGCTTATTATATTTAAGATTGAACAGTTTAAAAAGAAATCTAAAAATTCAAATAAATGGTTGTGGCCAACAGCTACTGGCGTACTCCCCGGGGGGACCCTGAATAAATGAGAAATGTTTTAATTTGTAGTATGTTTTCTTACTTGTTTATCTTTTGCTTTGTTTCTAGGTTACCCGATAGTCATGCGTTTCAAGGACCTTACCTTATTTGGAACCCTGTGATGTTTCGTCACCTAACACAATAAGACATTTTGGACACCATGTGATTTAAGGACTGGCGGAAAAAAGGGACCAAACAAGGACAGTATTCATGGTCATTCCAGTGAACAAAGGGAGGAAAAGTACCAGGAACCATCAACTGAGACTACATGGCCGAGCTGGACTTTTGATTTAGCATCAACAGTAGCTGTCACTGAACTCTGCCACCCACCAAATCTCTTTGTATTATAGTTCTATTCCTATGGACTAGAAGACTCCGCAAATAAGTTATTATGGACTTTAAAGACTGGATTAACCCAGAAAAAAAATTAAATAAAACAAAACCATGTGATGTGAAACTTTTGTGTTATTTTTCTCGCCACAAGGAGCCCTGGGACTCTTGATGCTTATCTGTGTGAAAGATCTTGTGAGATCATGAGCATTTTCATTCCTTTTAGCCTTATGGAGCAGATATATCATCTGTCTCTTTTTACTGATTTCAGAGAGTCTCCCTTTTTTTTAATGTTTATTAGGAAGTAAAGTTCTCTTTTTCAGATAGAAAATGATGCCACAATAATAAAAGCCCAGAAGAGATGTTATGATATTTGACTTTTGTCACCTAAGGTTAACATAGCTAAGTTCTGCCAAAATGTTTTAATGGTATCTGTTGTTTTCAAAGCCTGGTGACTAATATTCATTACAAATGTCAGTATTATGTCAATAAATCAAAATCAATGAATATTTCTGTTAAGAAAATGTTAGTTTTTCTTTTAAGTGTGTGGTCTGTGCTGCTTACCAGGTCATGGTGCTGTTTCAGCAGTGTCTTTTGGGGCTTAGAATTAGCATACCGAGCAAATACTCTGTAGGGGGGGTAAGGCGGAGGAGAACTCAGAGGTAATCGGGGTAGCTCTCATAGTCAAACAGAAATGGGAATATCAGCAAATGCAAAAATAAGCCATGTTCAAAAACACAAAAGGGAAAATCTCACCACACAATTTTGCTTCAAATGAACAGACTTCACAAAAAGCCATCTGAAATCTGGTCCAGTGAGAGATGGCTAATTAGCTCTCACCCTAAAACAACCCCAATCCTATTTGATTCATTTTCCAAAGCAGATGTGGGCGTCATTCAAGCCTGAGTGTATTGTGTTATAGCAACAGTGTATATCAGCAACCAAGCTGTGCTAAATCTGATTCATTTTTGGTTGAGATTAGATGATGTAAGGTTTCATTAAAGTGTGCCATTAAAAGAAATAAACCTTCTGGTGAAGGTTTGCTGGAAAGGAAGACCGGAAAGTAAAAGATAACGGATGAATGGAAGAGGATTATTTAGACCTGGTGGTCTCGCCAGCGAGCTGAATCAGTGGGATCCAAGGGCAAATATAATGTCCATCTATTGTGTTGAATATAATGCGGTTACTATCATTAGTGATATCAACATGAAGCTCTATTCCCTTCTCTGTGGAAGCCAAAAAAGCTAGAGAAAGGCCTTTGATGGGAGGCTGGAAACCATTGGAGATTCATTTATATTTTACCTGCATGTAACCAACACCTCAGGGAAAGAAAATCATAGTATGTAATGCACAGACTCCTTTTCTGATATGATAATGAAATGCATTTTTGGAATGTAAATTTCTTCTCTATCCATTGTGTGTCTAAATACAGGAAAAATGTCAACATACCGTCTGTGTATTACAATAAAGGAGAGCCTACAAACCTCTCCTCAAAACAAACTCACGTTAAACTTGCTTAAATTCAGTGATTGTAGCAGAGAATGCATTTAACTCCTCTGCAGGATAGGGAGGGGGGTAAACTCCAAACAAACCATCACTTTACCACCAATTTCACATTTTTGCAGTTATTTCCTGTTGGTAATTGAAAACGTATATTCACTATGGAATGCTTCTTATGCTAAAGACAATTAATTAAGGAAAAATATAGAAAGCTTGCTCCCAAAGACCGGACCCGTGGGATTGATGTTGAAGGGAAGGAATGAGTAGGACTGCAATGGTTAGCGATCCAGGTTGCATCTTGTTTGGTTGGAAATCATTAAATTACAGTAATGACTAATTTCTCATTCCTGCATACAACTCACCGGAGACCACCATGGATTTAATAAAAGAGTCGGCGATGAATTACAAACAGCGAATGGCTGAGAAAAGGCTACGTGATTATACAGAGTAATTCAAAAGTGCATTAATAAAACAATACAGAAACATTGCTAAATCATTTGAGATAAAGGCTATTTGCATAATTCATTAAGATTAATCAGAGTAGGCAATCTACCACAGTGCTCTGAGGAACAGCGAGAGAAGATATGACTAAAGTCCCCAGGAAAAACCCTTTCTATCTACAAACAATGATACAAATCTACCCTTGGATCAGAGAATTAACCTCTCTGCTCTTTATAGCCCCTGCAGTGTTGAAGCACAATTCTTCACTCATCTGCCTTTATGTCAGCTAATATTCTATTAATAATGAAAGATCTTTCTCTCCATAGTTCGACTAGGTCTTTGTTTTTTGCTCAAGAGACCCTCACAAGAGCTGAATAGATATTCAATTGTTTAGAAACCATTGCACGAGCATGATTTTTGACAGTTTACAGCATGTCTCTCACAACAAAGGTGTCACCATCAGGGTTTGCATTTTCTCATTTGCTTGAGCTCTTTTCTTGAACGAGAATTTTTTAAAAAAAAACTAGAGTAAAACCTCTTTTCACAGTAGTATTTGACTTCATAACTTATTTTGGAATTAAACTTATTTTGTAATGTGATGTCATCAACCTTTCTTATTCTCTTGAGCAAAAGTTATTATGTAAAGTTGAGTTTTTTGGGATGTTTGTTTCGTGCCTACATTGTGTAAGTCATTCTGTTCAAATGTATTCCTTTAAGTGAATCCTTGTCTCTAAGGCCATGCTGGATTCTCTGCATTTACATGTGAACATGTTTAGGTCTAATGGTCAATGTAAAGTTTTTTTTTAATTTGTGAGAAACAAAGAATACAAACCAAATTCCCTTTAAGAATGGTTCAATCCAATTTGATACTTTTGTTTGCAAATCAGTTTATGATAACCCCCCGTCAATCATGTAGAATAACTAAATACATTTTATTATCATTATTATGTCAATGTACCTTTAAAATGTGAATTAAAAATTAACACAAAAAAAAACTGCACACCAACAAATTAATATTCATTACCTGTGCTAAAGTGGCACTTTTAGAAAAATATATTTATTATTTGCATAGAAAGCCTATCCTTCCCTCTGAGCGTTAGTAGTAAAATGCTACAGCCTTGGTGGGCTAGACAAAGGCTTAAAGATTGATTGGGAGAAAAAAAAAAGATAAAAACAAAGGGTATAGATTTTTTATTCACCAATAGAGTGATAGAGTTTTCGAAATGTTAATTAATTTGGCGAGTTATTACTTTTTTAAAGGTAGTCAGCAGACCTATGAGATTCTTTAGAGAACATTCTGTGTCTAAGTGAACTTAGCCTTGACGTTCTTGCCTTTGCCTTCCCTTTTAGCACTCAAAGGCCAAGGAATTGTTTTAAACACCTTTCAATAAACACATGCAATTTGTCCATGAAGTGGCACAACTGGAATTGGACAAACCTTGTAGCCCTAAACGTACCTGTAACATTATACCAAGGAAATCCTAGAAATGAATGGGTGATCATGAGTGTCATGTTTTCCGCTCAGAGACAGACCAAATAAATACAATAAGCCAACAGTACCTTGACTACTGTAGACTTATTTGACCTGAGAATAAAATTGGTTTTGTCCATTGCTGAGCTATGTATGAAACTATATGCTGTATCCCTGTGGAAGTAATCTAGGGGAAGTTTGTGCTTGTGTGTAAACTCTATGAGCAGTAAAAGTAGCTTAAGTGCTAAGTGAGTCTGCAGTGAGAAGGAGTCACCTATCTCACATGCGCCCCTTGATTGTTCTGCCAAAGCCTTTGCACCACTACTTTGAAGCCAAGAATGATTTTCTTTTTTTTTTTTTTAACACAGGAATTAGGTCTTTATATGCACAGCCTAAGCTGCTTGCTTTTCGTCATCCTCCAATGATATTTTTAATCATGTCGCCACGTCGGTGATTTTTTAAAATTTCCCCCGATGATCAAATTCTGACATCAGTGCTATGACTGGGCAATTCTGCCTTGGATCTGTAGAGCAGCAGCCACAGTTTAAAATAGAAAAGAGACCAATTCAGGCTTCTTGGTAGGTGGAACTATACAGCCAGATTGCATCTGCTGTGAGGAACAAACGAATTGAGAAACTAGCACACATTATATGGAAGGTGGAAACAGTAGATAGTTTAGGTTAATTTCCTTTTTGAGCAACAGAGCCTCTTTCTGACCCAGAAGTATTGTGAAAGTGCAGTTAGGGAGCGGAGAGTGTCTCTGGTGTGAGACAAGAGCAAATGCACTGCCCACTTGATGTGTTTTGTGCAGACCTGAAATGCATTTTCTATGACAGTGAAGGCACTTACCATGATTCTTTATGTATTGCTGTTTTCAGGGATGAAAACTACAACTGAAGGGAAAATCTGTTTGGAGGCATTTTGTTGTCCTGTTAAAAACACAGGAGAAGACCAAGGCCAGTTTGTTGCTTTCAAACCTGAGAGAGATAGTTTAGGAACACAGTGAAAAGTCATAGCTAAGCCATTTCAAGGCTGTCATTTTTTAGTACATAAAAAGTAAAAATATTACCAACTATGTGCTTTCAGGAATCACTGCAGGAGAGGGACTTTCTTAAAAAGAAATCCGTCTTTAACAAACTATAATTACAATACAACTCACTTAAGTTGAAGGTGCATGTGGGTCATCAAACCATAATGTGTTTACTGTTGATTTTCATTTTGTGTGCTCTAAATTAAGTTTAAATTACGGTAGCGAACTGTTTTTCTCAGTTTAAATAAGGATGTCATTTTTGTCACCAATCCCGCTAGAATAAGTGACTGCTTTGTTCAAAGACTCCTC